TAACTTAAAAGTTTCTGTTATTCTATTGTTCTATAGATTTATATATATATAAGGATGTTCTTATATCGGTGTTTTTATATTATTTTTGTTAATATATTATTAAATTATAATCCAAATTCACTTTTTCTCTTTATATCTGTTAAGAAGCTCATTCAATGCTTTTTGACAATTCTTTTTACTGTTTTTGATATAACACATGTTTATTGCTAAGATTATTATTCTCTTCACAACAAAGTAGTCTTTTTAAAATCACTTTTTTCCAAATTTGTCTTTGTACAAATTTTATACCTATTTATTTTTATTTTTATCTTGATTTCGTATCTTAAGTCACTTTCTCTTAAATGCACTGTCCTTTACTTTATATTGATTCTAAAGTCGTTCAACCATGTATGAATTTATGATTGAAAATTAATTTTGTCACTGAAATTTCTCCTGAAATAGATTTTGATTTTTCATCGAATATCTAAATAAACTAAATATTCAATGAGAAAAAAACATAAACTTATTTTCACTTTTTTATGCAACTGTGAATTGTGATCACATTTTTACGTTACTTAAACACATTTTCATATACGTGAGAGGACAAAAAAAAATTTCTTCTCTGTTTACTTTTACTATCACTTTAATCGTGATGATAACCATAGGCTTTTAATTATTTGAGTTTAATGAAATTCGGGAATATCATACCTGATCAATTACGATGATCAAAACAATAAACGAAATCAACAAAAAAGTTTGTTTTAAAAACAAAACCGGTTTTTCTGCCGGGTTGACTCTCGTAGCGAGAGCCTTGACGATTGAAGCAAAACAAGTATTATGTAATAAAAGAAAACAAAAAATTTGAATAATCGTGTTTTAATGAAACCAAACCAATATTTTGCAATGGTTTAAAAGTAATGAACAAAAATGCCATTTCTAAACCAAGTTTTTATGTCTATATTGAAGGAATTTTCTTACTTTTATTACAAACATCACTACGTCAATTTAAAAAGAACTTTAAAATGTTGTCAGCTTAATATATAACTTTAAATAACAAACTTCCCTAAACAACAGACACGAGCTTGATCAAGAGACTCTTTATATCTACGAGACGAACGTATACTAACACTACTAGCTATAGAAAAAGATATGATAAAAATGTGAATGTTTGTATTAAGCGACGACTGATGATGAGTAATAAATGAAAAAACGAATGGCGTCCAGTCTTGTTGTTTATTAACTTATGCTATTTTGTTCTTAGCTGACGTTTCGTTTGCTGTTTGCAAACCTCTTCAGAGCTCTATAATGTACATTAATGACAATATATAAGTTACATTGATCTAAACATTAACAAAGAATCACAACATATTAAAAGCTTTTTTCACTTACTCAACAAATAAGTCTTGTCAAAATTAAAGTTGATGAGAAAATTTTTCATGAATTATTTTTTCGTTATTGCTGATGGAACTGTTATAATGAAATTAATATTTGTAAGTATGAATCATTTAAACCCTATTGATCAATGTTTTACCGAGAAACTGGCATTGGAATACAACTAAATTTAATTAAATCGCTATCAATTCTAAAACTTGTTCTTATCACTTTTTCGGAAATAAACAAAAGTTAATTTTTCGAAAATGTTCGAATCTAAATTTGAAATTTTGTGCGTTTAAAAATTATGAAAATGATTCTTTTCCTTTTCTTTAACTTTCAAAACTAAACAAGCGTAAAGAGTATTCAGATTCTCCACATCAGTTTTCAGGTTGATTGGATTGTCTTCTTTTTGGATGTGAAGCATTTCCAACATGTTCAGGTCGTAGCAGGTCCTTCCATTCTCCAGCACTTTCATTTCATCGAAGTTGAATCTATGATCACTTTCATGAACATGTTTTGCAAGCGCAGTTGTCTTATCTAGAATTTTCTTCCATCTCGAGTCACCGTCACCGTATCCATTTGATCTCAGATCAACAATATGTTGNCGTTTTAAATGCAAGGTGTCCCACTTTAATATTTCTTATAATAATAATAATAATAGTTTATTCAACAGGCTCTAGTCAGCCCAAAAGAACGTCAATTTTGTACAGCAATAAAAATAAAAATACATCACGCAGCTCTTCAAAACAAACAAAAGGAAACTTTCAGTCAACAAGACAAGCATAGGCAAATTTAACAAGACATATTGATAAAAATATAATTTTTCAGTTGATTAGATCAATTTCGATTTTTGACTAGATTTGTTTTAAAGTTATTTTTCGTTAAGTGAAAGTCGAATTCATGTTGAATTTGCTTGAATTCCCGTATCAGTCTCTCCAATGGGTTGTTTCTTCCATAGTCAGTTTTATGTTGAGATACAGATTTGAATAATGGAGCGCTCCTTGCTTTTAACATGTTTGTATTGAAGTTGAGAGAAGCTAAGAACTCGCTGCTTTCCACTGATCCATCAAGTATTCCTGCCAAAAACAAATGACCAGCGTTTTTCCTTCTATTTTCTAAAGTTTCTAGATTCAAGTACTTGCATCTTTCATCGTATGTGAGTTCTCTTTGAGGAATCATTCTCTTGCATGCAAGTTTGGAAAATTTTCTTTGAACCATCTCAACTCTTTTTATGGCATCATCTGTAAATGGAGACCAGATGATGTTGCAATATTCTAGATGAGGTCTAACAAGTGCACAATATAAAATTTTCAAAACATTATTGTCTTTGAAGTCTCTGGAAAATCTTCTGATGAATCCAAAAACTCTCATCGCGCTGGAGATTATCCTATTGATATGTGCCGAAAAACTCATGGAGCTGTTGATATCCACTCCCAAATCTTTTATTACTTGCACCATATCTATGTTTCTTCCACCAATCTGATATTGTCGAATTCCAATCTTCCTTTTTCTGTTAAATGTAATTGTAGAACATTTTGTAGAATTCAACTCTAACTCATTAGCGTCGCACCATTCTTCCAATCTATCAATATCTGATTGTAAAAGTTCCTTGTCATGTTCATTTCTAATTGTGCGATAAAATTTACAATCATCAGCATACAGGGAAATATTCGAATGAGGGAGAACATCTACCAGATCATTTATCATCACCAAAAAAAGGTCCGGGCCTCCATGAGTCCCTGCAGGCACACCTGATGAGCACTGATAGACTGTTGACTTTTCATTATTGAATAATACGTATTGACGACGATTCTTCAAGTAAGAGCCGAACCACTTCAACATCGATCCACCAAATCCCATTTTGAACAACTTTTCCAAGAGTATTCTGTGAGAAACTTTGTCAAAAGCCTTCGTGAAATCTGTATAAACAGCATCAACTTCCCCTCCATTTTCAACAACATTTATAATATGGCTAACATAAAGAATTAAGTTGGTTGTAGCAGATTTCCTTGGAGTGAATCCATGCTGTTTATCAGTTAAATGTCTGCTCAGTGTTGGTCTCAACTCCTCAAATACCATCATATCAAACAATTTCGCAACAGAATTTTGAATTGAAACGCTTCTGTAGTTCTCAATTTCACTTTTATTTCCTTTCTTGAAAATTGGAGCCACGTGTGAGATTTTCCAAAGGCATGGAAATATTCCTTCTCTCAAAGAAATATTGAAAATCTCGCAAAGCGGGTAAGAAATTTCTGCAGCAATTTTCTTCAGAAAAGCAGGTGGAATTCCATCAGGTCCTGCTCCTTTACTGCCATCCAACTTCGATAATCCTTCCATTACAGAAATTTCGGTGAAAGACAATGAGTTTACATCTAAGGAACATAACGATGGGGGTTCAGTACAACATCCACTAGATTCCGGATTAAAAACAGATTTGAAGAAATTAGCGAATGCTGCGGCAACATTCTTATCACCAGTCACAGATAAACCCTGAAAACTCATGTTCGCAGGAAACTTGTCTGATATTTTCTTATGATTCACAAAATTAAAAAATGCTTTCGGATTTTCCTTAATTTCTTCAGAAATTTTGTCAACATAAAGTTTGTAGCTAATACAATTAAGTTCCTTGAAAGCTTTCCTTGCGTTTTCATAATTTTTAATGGATAACGAATCGCCATTTTTAACTTTCTTGTGCAATTTGTTCTTCTCCTGACAAAGTTTAACAAGATCTTTATTAAACCACGGAGGGTTTGAAGAATTCAACTTTACTGATCCAATCGGTGTGTATTTGATAATTGATGAACATAAAATAACAGTAAAAATCCAAACTTTTTCATTAACAATGTTATTTTTGTTCTGTTCTTTCAAATGTGGAAACCATCTATACAAATTTTCATCGACAAGCACACGATTCTCAGAGATGAATTGATCAATTGAAAGATTAAAGACTTCCTTCCATTTAACAGCTCTCAAATCATCTACCACAGCATCAAAGTTTGATTTCTTATAATTGATAAACTTTCTGGTGGTGAAAAGCTCATGCAGCTTATTTCACTTCATCGCCAATAAAAATCAATGAAACCTTTTCATCACCTCAGAAAGCTTATTTATTTATTTTAAAAATATCTTTTTAAAAAATCCATACTCAGATACTTTATTTTTATTGATATGGCGACATTACCAGCACTTGAGCAAAAGATTAAAAACCATATAAAGGACAGCGAGAACAAAATAAAACTATTTAGAATGGAGTTGGAAGTGTTGAAACATTCTTCTCATTACAATAAACCGGAAAAAAATTATAAATCCTCTTTTGAAAGTAAAAAAGCTAAACCAAAGTCTAAAGAGGATAATAATTTGAAGAATGATCCTTTAGCTTCAAAAATAAAAAGACACCTTTCAGTAGAAAAGGGAAGCGTCAAAACTATGGTAATTTTTTTTTCTATATTATAACTTTTTAACCGGTATTTAAATATGTTCTTAGAACTCATTGCACCGCTCAATTGGAGACAATAAAAAAAGTGGAAAAGATAATGTTTCCAGTGCTGACTCAATAATTTTCAAAATGCCAGAGATTAATACAAAGGAAATGAAAATAGATTATAAGGGAAGTTTGACTACAATCAACTGTTGCCCATTAAAACTCGTTCAATTCCTACTACTAGAATTGAAAACCAGACTAAAAGCTTTTGTAGTAGGTAAAAGTTGTCCCTTTTCAATAACTAATTAGGTGATAATTTTATACTCTCCTTTAAAAAAAATTATACCTAATAAGATGATGAAAACATCTC